TTTCATGGTATATTAACACATGTCGACGTATTTAAAATCGAAATCTGTTTTTTTTTTTGTTTTTTTATCACACTTGAGTCGATAGAAAAATTGGTTGACCATATGCTTGCGTCTATAGGTAAACATTGATACAGTTAGTACTTGCGTCTATAAGTAAGTAGTAGTTGTGCTTATAGCATGAGTCCATAGGTAAACACTAGTCAGGTTGACTTGAGTCTATTGTTAAATATTGCCTGTTTTCATTCATGCGTCTTTTGGTAAACATTGGTTAAGTTTATAGCGGTACCTATAGGTATACATTCGAGGGCGTCATACCTGCGTCTATAACAGGGGTGTGCAAACTTTTCAGTGTAAGGGCCACATTCAAAAATTCACAATTTTACTGAGCCGCAGAGAATATGAACTCAAAATAATTAATACTAATTAATTAGCAGTAGAGCCCGGCGATGCCCGGGGATGTAACAGTAAGAGATAGATCAAGTATCGACCATCATAAAGACTGAAAAATAAAATTGACAAAGATTATTGTTTAAGGTTGACGGACACGCATGTCTTAATTATTTTTTTTTGTTTTTTTTACGAATTGGTCAAACCCAAACTCAAACAAAAACATTGTTTTCAATCGTTGTGAGTCTACCGATTGAATAGAATTTTATTATAAACAATTGTCTTGTAAATGGAATTTTAAAGCATTCTGAATATAAAAATAAAGAAAAAAGTGTGCAAGACAATAAGAAACACTACCTGCCAAAAAAGGTGAAGTTTTGTTGAAATCGTTTGAAAAATGTAGGAAATCCGATCCCATATATAAACGAACACACACACACACACACACAAACAAACAAACAAACAACCTGGGCTTTATAATAAGTATAACTCGATATGAGTTGTCCCCCTTTCATTCTCGCGACAGCGATATTTCTTAATCGTATTTTCAAATTGATTTTGTGCAAAAACAATTGTGTTTTTTCCAATTTTGGGCACTGTCAGAACCACCGCAAGGTAATTTTACGTAGTCCTGTGAAGTTTTGTTGAAATCAGTTGAAAAATGTAGGAAATCCGATCCAATATATAAACGAACAGACACACAACCTGAGTTTCATAATAAGTATGATTTAGAATAGACAAAAATAAGGCTTTTAAAGAAAAAAATGGATTTATTTTTATTAATTAATATTTTAAAGTACTGTAAAAGATTCACATGAAACGAATTTTTTTGAAAGAAAAACTAACTCCGTTTAAATTACTTTAAAGGAAAAATATTAATAGGTATTTTTAAGTTGAAGCTTTACATGAAACACATTTGAAAGACAAAATAACCTTGTTTTAAGAAAAGGAATATTTTTATTAATTAACATTATAAATTAGAAAACATTTATTTGGAAAACAAATTAACTCTGCATGAAAAAAAAATGCAAAAAAAAACAATTCTTACTAATTTTTTAAAGTAGAAACTTCAAATAAAACATATTTAAAGTAACAAAATTTAAATAAATAAATTAATTTAGATTTTAAAGTCGAAACTTCACATGAAATTTGGCAGCAGAAGGATCTCAATGACTCAATGAGAATAATGTATCTGATTGCAGTCGTTTACCAGTTTGTTAAAATTAGGCAAGTTGCGTGTAACAGTTATTTGGCGTTGCTTGTTAACTTTCTCTTTCAAATTTACTAACATTTGGCGGGCTGCGTGAATTCTTTTGGCGGGCCGCGGATGGCACGCGGGTCGTAGTTTGCTCATCCCTGGTCTGTAAGTATGCATTGGTTGTGATATACGTGAAAATGTAGGTAAATTTTGATTGTGTTTCTACTTGTCTATAGATAGATATTGGTCATTTTTTAAACCTGAGTCTATAGGGAAATATTGCTTGCGTTTTATACTTGAGACTGTAGCTAAAGATTGGTCATTTTTATACTTGAGGTTATATGCACACATTTATCGTGTTTATGATTGTCTATAGGCAAACCCTCATTGTGCCTATACATGATTCTCTAGGTAAAAATTGTTGGTCTTTATAGTTGCGTCTGTAAGCAACCGAAATCTCGCCCCTCTTGGCAGTACATTCTATATCCCATCGACAAGGTAAAAAGAACTGATACCAATTGTCTTCTGGGATGCAAAACGTGTGTTAAACCTTGGAAACGAATCGCTATTGCTATTATATATTGATTCTTTCCATTTAGTTGCCTCGTTTTCGTTCACTCAACAAGCTACTCAAACAGAAAGTCACTTGATCCACTCAGCTCGACGCCGCTCGGCAGATTGACTCACGAAGTTGTAGGCGTACGTTACTTAGCAACACATCCAATAACTAAGATCTAATCCCATGATATCGACAGATTTGTATCTGGACGTCCACCAAGTGTGAATACGTACAGCAAAAACATATTTAAAAACAAAAAGAACATATGAGATATTTCTTTGTAAACATCCTCAGACATCGTACTTGACCTCAAGTTCAAGTCGACACTTGAGTCTTTTGTTTTTGTTTGGTTACCCTACAGAATGGAGTCGTTCTCATTGGATCAGGTGTATATTTCTGCCTATTTATTCTATTATCGGCCATGCTGATTTTTTTTTTTAAGAATCCTCCATGGCAGATTTCGAAAGCAAACATTTGATGTGATATATTTTCTCTCGAGAGAACAACTGCTGAAGCAGTGACTATGTGAGTGCAACATTAAAAAATGTTTATGAAATGAAAAACACACCTCCCCGGGCGATTTGCACATTTTATGACGAGCAATCTGTCAGTCGGAAGTTCATCTCACCTTAGCCGTTTCGTTTAGTCTCTGGAACAAAAGCAATCAATTAGGACTGCTTCTGTCGCCATCGATTCACTGGTGTTTCCTGGAGAGGCCAGAAGACAAATATCGCCAAACTTACATGCACAGTTGTAGAAACACTATTTACATTATTCTGACCATTTTTATCATGTTTCTTGCCATATTTATCACAACGTTTCAGCCTTTGTACACTCCGGCCTTCTTCAGGTGGTTGGAATGTCGAACTGAACCATTTATTTCGCTCGCTGGGGTAGACAGTTCTAGTTCCACGTGCCATGTCTAATGGATCCCAGTTATCAGTTATCTCCTGTTAATTCACCCCTCAGTTATCTTTATCCTTAAGCACACATGACGCAATGGATAAATGCGTTGGTTAGATCCAGTGAATTTAACCAACGCTTTTATCCACTGTGTCATGTGACTTGTGAGTTCAATACCCGGTTAAGGCAATTGATCCTTGTCTATCCCAGCGAACGAAATAAAGGTTTCAGTTCGACATTCCAACCAACTGAAGAAAACCAAAGCGTACAACGGCCGAAACGTTGTGATAAATATGGCAACAAAGATGAGGGCAATGGTCCGAATAATGTAAATAGTGTACATAATACCTCATCTCAGAAATATAGACAGATACCGAAAGGCCAAAACAATGTAATAAATATGGCAACAAAGATGTGGACAATGGTCCGAATAATGTAAATAGTGTACATAATACCTCATCTCAGAAATATAGACAGATACTGAAAGGCCGAAACGTTGTAATAAATATGCCAACAAAGATGAGGACAATAGTCCGAATAATGTAAATAGTGTACATAATACCTGATCTCAGAAATATAGACAGATACTGAAGGTCAGAAACGTTGTAATAAATATGGCGACAAAGATGAGGACAATAGTCCGAATAATGTAAATATTGTGCATAATACCTGATCTCAGAAATATAGACAGATACTGAAGGTCGGAAACGTTGTAATAAATATGCCAACAAAGATGAGGACAATAGTCCGAATAATGTAAATAGTGTACATAATACCTCATCTCAGAAATATAGACAGATACTGAAAGGCCGAAACGTTGTAATAAATATGCCAACAAAGATGAGGACAATAGTCCGAATAATGTAAATAGTGTACATAATACCTGATCTCAGAAATATAGACAGATACTGAAGGTCGGAAACGTTGTAATAAATATGGCGACAAAGATGAGGACAATAGTCCGAATAATATAAATAGTGTACGTAATACCTGATCTCAGAAATATAGACAGATACTGAAGGTCGGAAACGTTGTAATAAATATGGCAACAAAGATGAGGACAATAGTCCGAATAATGTAAATATTGTGCATAATACCTGATCTCAGAAATATAGACAGATACTGAAGGTCGGAAACGTTGTAATAAATATGCCAACAAAGATGAGGACAATAGTCCGAATAATGTAAATAGTGTACATAATACCTCATCTCAGAAATATAGACAGATACTGAAGGTCGGAAACGTTGTAATAAATATGGCAACAAAGATGAGGACAATAGTCCGAATAATGTAAATAGTGTGCATAATACCTCATCTCAGAAATATAGACAGATACTGAAGGTCAGAAACGTTGTAATAAATATGGCAACAAAGATGACGACAATAGTCCGAATAATGTAAATAGTGTACATAATACCTCATCTCAGAAATATAGACAGATACATTTGTAGAAAGATAAAAGAAATGCACACCGAATCTGTTCAACAAATTTTATCTCAGCTCGAATGGTATTCACTGGCTATTATTAAAGACACAATATTTCGAATACTGATTTTCGAGGCAATCAGGTTCTTATCTTAGACCACATTGATAGTGCCAGATGTCATGAGATACCGAAGAAAATATCCTCTCTCACCATCCATGACCTAAGAGACGACATGGTAGACAGATTATGAGGAGTTATCAACAAGTTTACAATTAATGATGCAGAAACCATCTAATTAAGTAGTCACAGGGCTGCATTGGCTGTGTCCGTGTGCATCTTTCAGTATGTATGTGGATCGTCGACAAGCAATTAATGTATCTGTGTGCATCTTCCATCGTAGGCGGATTATCGGGTTCCAACCACGGACAAACGATCGTTGTGTCCGTGTGCATCTTTCAGTGTATGTGGATCGTCGGTTTCCAGTCACGGACAAATGAGCGTTGTGTCCGTGTGCATCTTTCAGTGTATGTGGATCGTCGGGTTCCAATCACGGACAAACGAGCGTTGTGTCCGTGTGCATCTTTCAGTGTATGTGGATCGTCGGTTTCCAGCCACGGACAAACGATCGTTATGTCCGTGTGCATTTTTCTGTGCATGTGGATCGTCGGTTTTCAGAATTGATGTGTCCGTGTGCATCTTCCATCGTAGGCGGATTATCGGGTTCCAGCCACGGAAAATCAATCGCTGGGTCCGTGTGCATCTTCCAGTGTATATGGACCGTGGGTTTCCTGCCACGGACATGCAATCGCTGTATCTGATTGTGTCTGCTAACGTCTTCCAACATATGGGGATCGTCGCAATTCAGCAGCTTCGTCTATTTAGCGTGTCCTTTCAGGTCGTAGGCGATTATGGCTCTCCACAATTTCCTGCCCTTTGTAGCACTTAATAAATTTTGTCTTTTAGTTATCACTCCTAAACCCTGTCCCGCCATCTGTTTACTCGTTAGACAGGTTATGCGTTGTTTTCCTGTCTCTCTTTCCTTTAATCTGTCCCGTGAGTATCAACTGTTCCAAACCATATTTCCTCATTATACGCCCTAACATCTTCCAGCATATGTGAATCGTTGTATCTCATCCACGAGTCGGTGTGTGTTGTGGCATTTTCCCGCGTATGGGATTCGCTGGCTCTCAGCCACGTGCCTGTTCTGGGTGTTGGCTGTGAGGCATCTTCCAACGTGTGCAAGGCATCACATCTATCTCGATCGCCATCGTCCGGTATAGCTATCACAGTGAACGAAATACTTACGTAAGGAGCATAGTGACTGGGGATTTGTTGCCATATGTTCCCCCATAAAGTCACCAAACGTTACGAAATAACAGAGTCCAAACTGGATGCAATTGATTTGTTACCATCTTTATCCATTTAAATACTATCTAAACACAAGGTTATTTTAGGGTTCTGCGTGAGATTGAAGGGTACATAAGGCGCGAGAGGATAGACGTAACTGCAAATTCGAAGCCTCGAGCTGATTTTCTCTAAATTTGGGTATCTTCTCCTAGACATGTTCAGGCTACGCTCAGTCGGTTTCTTTCGCATCAACATCACTTTTGCTTTCTTTTATACACACTACAAACATTCACTTACGTGTAAATAACATTTGGGACAGGTATGAATTCATATCCTTCCCACAAGCTATGGGTTAAATAGTAAGACTTGTATCTGGAAAAAAATCCTTGTTATTCTCCAAAAATTGTTAATAAAAAGAATTATTCTAATAATGTAAAAAAATGTTTAAGCTTTAAATAATTCAAAAACGGTTGATAAGCTTTAAAAAAATAAAATAAGTCATTCGATCAATCAATTAATCGCTTTACCCACAGGGAAGATGAACGCGCACACGCAAGTCGACCGCGCCCTAGCTTGTCTCTCTTCTGCCAAACTTATCGACCTATTGTCGCCTATGGCGATCAGTTTCATTTCTTTTTTCGTTTCCAGTAAATGAGAGACAAGGCTGTAATTCATAATTTTTCGTCATGTGCATTTGAGTGAACGGCTCGCACATTTCCGTCCAGCTGTGTCGTATTTCCTTTTGAACTGCACATGATTATCTCGCCACTTCAACCAAGGTGCCTTTTAAAGCAACGAGGATATTCCGTCATAAATGAAGTGAGTTGCATCCTCACTAAGCGACACGCTAATATGGCGGCGTGCAAAGCCTTTCACATAACCGATTTACCAATGCTTGAGAAGTCTAAACCAAATCTAATCGAGTAATTAGAATAATCGAAAACCTCTACTGTTAACAGACCACCTGCATACGGATGAAAAAAAAAAAAGAGTTCAGTAAAAATACAAAAATAGAAAGGCGTGTAAGACAAGGATGCCTCCTCTCAGCGGACTTAGGTAAATTATACAGTGGGGCGATTCTGAGGGAGTAGAAATCCTACCGAATTTAATTATTGGCAGTCACAACGTTAAGAGCATAAGATATCCAGATAACAGTATTGATAACAGACAGAGAAACGAAACTACAGAGAGTAATGAAGGAAAGCGAGAAGAAAGGACTAAACGTCAATTACAAGAAGACTGAATTGATGGTTGTTACTAAAAGGAACAGCTCAATATATATATATATATATATATATATATATAGAGAGAGAGAGAGAGAGAGAGAGAGATAGATAGATAGATAGATAGATAGATAGATAGATAGATAGATAGATAGATAGATGTTTTAGAGCAAAAAAACAAAAATTGCTTCAACATAGTATAATCTATATCAAGCCGTTCTGTATGTGGCTATCATCAGCCCCAAATTGTCTGTCTCAGAGCATTGTTTTAAATTTATAATTTATTTTCAATTTATTTTACCTGTACTATATATATATATATATATATATATATATATATATATATATATATATATATATATATATATATATATATCAATAACAAAAAATACTATTCTTAAAAGAGTGACCACTACAGAGTAGAGGTTCTACATTCAACACCATCACTTGATAACACACCAGAAGTGTTGAAAAAAATGGCCATTTTTGTAGTGATTT